CCAACCACCTTGCAAATAAAGTTTATCATATTTAATATCATAACATGCTATTTTGCAGTATATTTTCTTGCTTTTCATTTAGTTGGTTTCCATATTGAAGTTTTTCTGTAGAACTAATACAGGTGGAATCAACCAAGAATTTTTTTCCATTGACAGTATGAAATAACCATAATTTGGACATTTATTGAAACTTCTGTAATAGGTTGGTGCCCAAATTTCACGGAAGAAGATGGTTCCTGTTCCCATGCATGGAGCATTCTCTTGGCAGGCATACAATGAAGAGACAGCTTCAGATGTTGACAGTTCATTCACAATGGTCGGGTTGTTGGAGCAGATAAATACAACCAGAGATATATCTGACTATTTGTGGTACACAACAGAGTAAGTAGTGAATAGCAGCATCTCATTGCAGATAGCAGCATCTCATTGCAGTTTGCATCATCTGCATTCATTCAACTCTTTTTTTTTTTGCAAAGCGCTATATATTTTTTCTTGAAGAAAAGAAAGAATGTTCTATTGAATTCCTCTTTATTACCTGTATTTGACTTTCTAATGTTTTGTACTTTCTGTTTCCATCTCCAGCATTAAGATTGACCCTAGTGAAGGATTCTTGAAGAATGGAGAATCTCCTGTTCTTACTGTCTTATCAGCTGGCCATGCTTTGCATGTTTTTGTCAATGGTCAACTATCAGGTGGGCTTACCGTTGGTTCTTGGTTGCTTTTGAACAACTTCAGATGATATTAATATTTAGTAATTGCTCAAAATATAGTGTTATATTTTTTGCTTCTGACTTAGGTTGATATTTTAGAATGTTATCCTTGAAAAAAATGGAAAAAAGTAGTATGTAATTAGTATTTTTTCCCTTGATATTGTTTCTTTTCCCTCAAATTGATATTGCCAGGAAGTGCCTATGGAAGTCTAGAATTCCCCAAACTAACATTCAGTCTAGGTGTTAATTTGAGAGCTGGTATCAATAAAGTTTCGCTTCTAAGCATTGCCGTTGGTCTCCCAGTATGCTCTCTCTCTCTCTCTCTCTCTATGCAGACAACTTCTTGTCAATGAAATTTGTTTATGAATGGTTGAATTTGTGGTTTGCGTGCAGAATGTTGGTCCACATTTTGAGACTTGGAATGCTGGTATTCTTGGCCCAGTTACATTAAATGGTCTCAATGAGGGAAGGAGAGATCTCTCATGGCAGAAATGGTCTTACAAGGTCTTTTTCTTGCATACTAGTATTTATTCGCTACTTGTCCTGATGTGCTAGAGAGTTATTTGGCTATTTATTCCTTTGCAGGTTGGCCTTATAGGAGAAGCATTGAATCTTCATTCACTAAGTGGTAGTTCCTCAGTGGAGTGGGCAGAGGGTCCTTAGTGGCACAAAGGCAGCCACTGACATGGTACAAAGTAAGCATCTCAAAATATAAGCATTTGTTGGACTGTGCGTTTTCATAAAAAGGAAAAAAGAACAGATATAGAAGTGCACCTGAATGCACCTTTAGTCAGCATTTGTTGACATTCTTTAATTTTGCAGACAACTTTCAATGCTCCAGCTGGAAATGCTCCATTGGCTTTGGATATGGGTAGCATGGGAAAAGGTCAGATTTGGATAAATGGACAGAGCATTGGACGCCACTGGCCTGCATATAAAGCATCTGGTAATTGTGGTGACTGTAATTATGCTGGAACGTATGATGAGAAGAAATGTAGAACTAATTGTGGAGAGCCCTCTCAAAGATGGTAATGGTTCAAACTAATCTGCTTTGCAGTTTCTCCTTCAAGCATGGAATTGTTGATAGAATGACTTGTGTTCACTAATTTATACTTAGGTACCATGTTCCTCGTTCATGGCTCAACCCAACCAGGAATTTGTTGGTTGTGTTTGAGGAATGGGGTGGAGACCCAAATGCAATATCTTTGGTCCGGAGAGAAACTGACAGTGTTTGTGCTGATATCTATGAGTGGCAACCAACCCTAATGAATTACCAGATGCAAGCCTCTGGTAAAGTCAACAAACCCCTAAGGCCAAAAGTCCATTTAGAGTGTGATGCTGGGCAGAAAATCTCGGCAGTACAGTTTGCCAGCTTTGGAACTCCAGAAGGGGTCTGTGGGAGCTACCGTGAAGGGAGCTGTCATGCTCATCACTCTTATGATGCTTTTAATAGGGTAAGTTACATTTGCTTACATTATATCTTCTTTTATAGTTGGAATAGTGAAAATAATAAACCAATGACTGAGCTGTGATTACTCTTTGGGTTTTACTAGTATCATATGCTGGTTTTCAAGCTTTGTCCAGCAATTGTTCATTGCTCCATACACATTGACCTACGACTTTGTCCTTGCAGCTCTGTGTTGGGCAGAACTTCTGCTCAGTGACTGTAGCACCTGAAATGTTTGGAGGAGACCCATGTCCTAGTGTCAGGAAGAAACTCTCTGTGGAGGTCATATGCAGCGGAACACATCAGAAGTACATGAAATAAACAGGGGTATCAATTAATTCTCTCTCAATCCAACATGCCATTCAGCATTTATCATTTTTGGGTAAATTAAATCCACACTCCAAGATCACAACCATTTGTTTTGGCTTTTCCAGGGTGAACTTGTACAAAAACACAAAACAACCCTTTGCAAAGCTCATATAGATTATGAAATGATTGCAGATAAGCGCAATGTATATATACAATGTTTGTTCCTGCATGATATACAGAATTCATAGGCACAATGAGGTCAGTAGAAGCGCATTGAGATGATACTGTACCGAGTCCATGTGCAAATGTTTCGTTGTTGTTGTAGGATATGGAAAGCCTTTGGTTTCTAGTGAAGTCTATTGCCTTGTAGTCTAGCCTTTGGTTTCTAGTGAAGTCTATTGCCTTGTAGTCTATTTTAATTTCCTGGGAAGCAATCCCCTCATTGCTTTGTTCTCGTAAGAATAGCTTGAGAAGGTAATAAAATCAAGTATTTTGGATTTTCTCAAGTAACTTTCTTTACTCGTTATGATTGCTGTTGTGATTCTTATATTTCAGTCTAACTTGTGCCTTGCTCTGTGTGATAAGGATATCAAAAAAATGAACCCTGTTTGCCCTTGCATGCACCAAGTTAACATCTTCTAGAACTGGAAAACGTTACATGGGGGGCTCAGAGAATGGGATATTAAAAATGTTCAAAACCCAAGCTCCATAGATCTCAATTAGCGTTATCCCAAACTTTCTTAAAAAAAACTGGAGGATGTATCTATCAAGCCTTAGGCTCGAGGAAAAAATTTACTATTCCGTTTTACTTGACTGCTCATGTGTGAAAGAGGGTCCTAATTGTCCGCCCATGAAGGCCCATCAAAGAGAAAGCAAGCTAAACCAAAAGGATCAAAACCTCAATACGGAACACTCGAACAAAATGCCCTTTAATTGGGCTATTGCCATTAGACCAACTGTTTTTTTTTTTTTTGGGGGGGGTTTTTTTGGGTTTTTTTTTTATTGACGGCAATGTGGGATTGGGATAAATTTTTATTTATCTCAAATCTAATAAAATATTAAAATATTATTTTCATATTTGATTTGATTTATATATATTAAAATTTATAATTAATTTGATCTATTCAAAATTAATAAAATATTAATTTGTAATATAAAATATTATTTAATATTATTTTAACATAAAATATTTTTTAAATATGAAGATAAAATTAAATACATATATATAAATATTTATAAATATATATAAATATAAATTAAATAAATAATATATATATATATATATATATATATATATAGATATCAAGTTGGGTTGGAGTGTATTTGTATAAAATTTGATCCTAATTTTTTTATAAAAAAATACATAATCCAAAATTTAATTTAAAAAAATTAATTTTAAAAAATTGAGTCGAATTGAAATTGTCAATCTTAATATTTTTTAGTTATTTTTGTTGGATTTTTTTTTTATAATATGATGTGTCAAATGTGTTTTTAATTTTTTTTAATCTAACATCTTTTTGAATCATCTAAGGATATATTTTTCACTTTTGTAATATTCTTACAAAAACCGAGCCATGATTGACGTCGAAAGAATTCTCTCTTTAACAATTGGACCTTTTAATATGGTAGACTTTTTGTAATTTTTTCTTCTAAATTATGACATCATCATAATCACATGACAGTACGAAGTTACATTAAAAAAATTCGTTAATGATTTTTACCACAATAATTATCTAATCAGATTGCCAAAAATACTTTAGTAAGACAGGTAATTTAGATTTAAATAAATTTGATAATTTAAAAACAATATGTTTTAAAATTTTAATAAAAATTATATATAAATTCAATATAATAAAAATATATATTTATATTTATTTATTGATATAAATTATTACATAAAATATAATATAAATATATAAATTATTAATATTTTATACAATATAAATATATAAATCACCGTGTGTGTCCCGACTAATATATTACTTGTAGCTTACTACTCTCTAACCTCTTAAATTCTAGAAAAGAAAATTTCTTTCAAAACCTTGACCCCAAAACCATTTGAACCAGGGGCTCACCTTTTGACTGATTTTGAGGTAGTTTTGCACAATCTGGTGGCAGTAATCAGAGGATCAAGGCAACGCAAGGGTCAAAAATTATAAATTAATAAATGTTAAGGGAGATTTGCACAAAGATAAAGCGATGGAGATGGAGAAAATCTTTGACTACAAGCTCAGTTCAAATTTTTTTTTTCTTTAAAGCCTGTACCGGACTCTTGTGTCTTTAATTGTTTGCGGTCTGCTCCATTTTTTTCCAATTTCTAAACCAATTGAAGGGTAAGACTTAAAGTGCGACAAGTTTTGTTAAAAACCATTTTTTATTGCCTTTTCCACATCTTATTGATGAATTTTTTATTTATAATTTAAGTTTGATAAATTAAAATATGATATAATAATATAATATAAAAATAATATAAAAAATTTTATAATTTTAAATTTTAATAAAAATGATATATAAATTTAAATCAAATACCATAAAAATATATCGATTCTCACTCAAAGGAAAAATCACCTGAGGTAACATTTACCAAAACCAACATGCTCGCGTTGACCATATTCGTTGACCACATGATCTTTCTTCTTGATGAACGGCTTTAGACCCACTTCCCAAATTTTTATTCCCGAACTTTATCCTATCGTAAACACTGCTTTTGCCCTTGTTGTTTGCAGTACTAGAAACATAGAACTCTTGTAGCAAAACATCGAACACTTGTTATCTTTCTCTGTTTCATATTGTGTCGTGATTGACGGATTTTAATGGTGGCTAAACCTTCACTTCTTCTTCTTTCCTTCTTCTATAGTTGTCTTTTTATCTGAACATAAAATTATAAATTAAAATTCCATTTCCTATCCTTTTATTTTGCTTCTAACTTTGAACCAGTCCCTCCAAATGTTTTTCTTCTTCTTTCTCTTCTCTTTCGTTCTCTCTTTCTTATTATTTTTCTTTTCTTTTTACTGTAAAAATCTCCTTAAACAACAAGAAGAAGGAAAGTCCCAGAATGAACCGGCCCTTTTGGGCGGCTCTCTCTCCGATATTGTTGATAAAAATGCCCAAACCCTGCAAAACGACCCGACCCATTGGCCCCATTCGCTTCTTCTAGAGATCTTGCCTTCTGATTCTAAAAAGTGGGCTGGTTTGTTTACCGGTGAAGATCAACCCAAGGGAGATACGGGTCAAGTCGGGTCGGGTCGAGGAGGGGAACCTTGTGAAACGGGTGGTGAGGATCAGAGCACGAAGAAGAAGAAGAAAAGGGGGAAGAAGAAGAGATTAGATTCCAAAGTTGAAGAAGAAAATGTGGACGCAAGATGTAGTTTTGCTGAGGAAGAGAAGAAGAAAAGGGAAGAATCGTGTCAGGGTGTTTCGGGTTCTCGGGTCAAGCCAGAGCTGGTTTGCCTGTACCCTTTTACATCAACGAGTAGCGCAACGCAAAGGAAGATCAAGCAACAGTACGATCAGCTTGTTAAGTGTCATGAAAACAAAGGATTAACATTGGCTCAGGTTGGTTCTTTTTTTTTTGCTTATTATCACCTAAAAATTTTGATTTTCGACGGTTTTTTATCTGTTAATTTAGCAAGTAATATTAAAGCTTACTCTTTTGTAGTTTAAGATTTTGCTTTTGAATGTTGCTTTAATATATGGGCTATCTTGATACTAAAGAAAGTTCCATTGTTGCTTCTTATTTTAAGATATCTTTAATTTTTTTTAATTCTTTAACAATATTTAGGCTGTCTGGAGAATAATATGATTATGTCTTTTCTCATTTCAAGCAATAGTTGAAACTTTTTTTCTTTGCTTACATTGGGGTAAGTCTTATCCAATTTGGAATTCTTTATGAGTTTGTGTTATTTCTTTTCTGCAACAAGATGTTATAAAGGAAGCGAAGAGGGAGGAAAAGAACCTGAAAACTTTTGCATGAATTAAGTTACAAAATCATTGGAGGAAATCTAGGTAACATTTGGACATTACTTGAGAACAAGGTTTACTTACCGTTTAGTTAAGATGACCCTCGAACCATGTGGTTGATTGATGGCATCTTGATGAGAGTTCACTGATTCTTGTTCTGCAGAGCACTGATGTAAAATTTTGTCATTTTATAAATGTAATATAGCTCTGATGAAATTACAGAAATGCTGAATGTGAGATTATGCTTGTAATTACATTGCTAGTTAGAGTAGTTAAATCTGTTTATTTCTGAAAAAGAACTAGATTGCAAGCATTTGGGAAAAGTCTGAAAGTTTATCTTCTCGTTTTGCTGGGGCTATAATCATATGTTACTAATATGTATACAGAGTATGAGACATTGATTCCGAATTAGTCCCTGAACTTCTAGATTAAGCATGAGTCACTTCTACAAGTATTCTTTAAAAAATATGGGCCTCATAGAAAGTTGCTGGTCAAGGAGATCATAGTGAAGTTTTCATCTTTCCTGTTGAACAATAGAAAGTATGAGGCTAGTTTTAAGGTCTTATGGCATTTAATTAAGGGAAACTTGAGGATTTTGGTGAAGTTTTGAATTTAAGTACTTACTGGTAGGTCATGGAGTCTTGGGTGGTAGAGCTTTCACTTGCTTCTGCAAACCATGTGCTGGAAGCATCACCAGACTCGAAATTTTATGTGCCAAATGGATATCATTGCTCTAGAAACTTTCAAGATCAAAGTACAAGAAAATTTTGATATTTGATGCAGGGTTTTCCAGCTACATATGAAGTAATTATATTATTTCTGTTTCTTGGAAATTGATTTGAAACATAGAGCCGGCATCAGGTGGGAATTTAGGGCTTTTTTATTTTTGTATTCAATTTGTCTGGTCCATTTTTTAGGTGAGTGTGAGATTGAGTTGTACCAATGTTAATACAGAATGGTAAGGCTTAAACCTTGACACCAATTCAAGGCTCACAAGTTTAAGCCGGATTCAATCTGAGATCTTGCTTGCATCCCAATCTAATCTTGTAGACAATTGTTTACACTTAAATAAAGATGCGTGCTTTTCATATGACATCTGAATTATTGATTGTAAATAACTCTCCCCAGACTAATTTTAGGCTCAATATTTAACATTATATTCTGCATTGTTAAAGTTTCAAATACCTGTAAGTGCTCCAAGAATCCTAGGTTTTTTATGCTCTGACAGTCACAAGGTATGTTAAGATCATTGTGCAAAATATTAATTTATACTTTCCTCTTCATGCCTTTTTTTTGGTCTATTAATATTTGAAAACACCTCCATCATTATTTTAACTCATGTTATTTACATCATTAGCTTTTCTCGTGCTTTTTACTTAATATTTCACACTTCTAGATAGAAGAATTTCTGAATAAGATTACAAATTTCCCTTGAAAGTTATCAGTTGCATTGATAAGCTATAAGATACATTGATCCCCCAGCCTGCCTCTTGTTATTCTGTTATATATTTTGCACTTTATAGTGGGTTTGACTATGCAACAATCGTAATATATTATCCTCCCTCATGTAGGTTGGAGAATTTGCTAATTGCTTGATTGAGGCCAGAAATGAGCTGCAGCACAAGTAAGTTAATAGTCATTGTGATGTTTTCAGAATCTAGATCTTTAGTTTTGCTTTCAATGATTTTCTTTCAGCTTTGTTCTTGTTGTTTTGGGAAAACATGCTGCTCTTTTTGATCTATGTGATAAGCTTGCCCACTGTTTTTCTCCCTTCCAAGTCCTTAACTACTTCTATTCTGTTTGTTCTGCAAATTCCAGAATGCAATATCAGTATATTGAAATGTTTTTCCGTTTCTCCACTCCTTTAATCATGAATTTTTTTTAATGTTTTCCCCTGTTTTTCAAATTTGATATTGACAATGGTTCCTATTTTCTTTGCCTCATATTTTCACCATTAATCTGTCCTTTGAAATTGGCATGGTTAATTTCCTCATTTTCTTTCCTTGCTACGATCTTACCACAGGTCTGAGGTCATCAAACGTAAGTTTACAATAACAAAGGCTCTAATATTCAAAGCAGATCGATCTTCATTTGATCGCCTGAGGCAGCAGGTAAGCAACCAAATGAGATAAACTTGAGCTTCTGGAGTGAACTGGTTGTTTTCATTCATCTCAATCTCCTGTAATAGTGGATTGATTTGAATGTTTAGATATACAAGCTAGAAATGGAACAAAAGAGATTAGAAGAGGACACATTTGTCTATAATTGGCTCCAGCAGCAACTTAAACTATCACCAGCATATAAAAAGGTACAGTCCATATTGCTTCCAATATGTTGCTTTTTCCTACTACTACTACAGACAAATCAGTCAAAAGGATCATTGAAATGAATTTTCCCTCCCCCATGTTGATTTGTTCTCTTATTGCAATTGAAAGAGAGATTATCATGGTTCTAATATCTCTTTCTCTCTCAGATGCTTGAAATTGGTGCATGCATGGAGTTAAAGGCGAAGTCTGGTGAGGTGATGGAAGGCACAGATACTGAATTTGCCGACATTTCTTTCGAAGAGTTATTAGCTCAGGAAAAGAAGGATTCATTTTGGTTGGTTGCTCATCTTTTAAATCCTGGTTTCTAAATATTGTTTGCACCGCTTATGATAATTTTTTTTTCTTTTCGATGCTCTGTTCAGGCAGAAAAATGGGAAATCAAGATTAAGCTCAAACTGATGACAATATTTGTTTAGCTAACTCTACTCTGGAACCGCACCTCTTTTCCTAGTATGTATCTTCGATATTTAATACTATTATGTTTCTTTAGTGTTTGTAGAAAAATCATTGCATAACTTACTTTTCTTTTTATAGGTTCCCCAATGGAAGCTATTCGATCCTACAGAATGACATAGAGTCTGATTATTGCACCATGTCCAGCCGAATTCCAGCCCTCTGCTCGCCGCGAGCACCACCTTCCAAGATCAAACATCTGCTTATTCTATCGCTCAAATCTTGATATTTGCCCTGCCTGACATTGGGGTTTACTAGATCTTCTATCGCTCAAGCATATGCTTCCAGATTGAAGCCTATGAATAGTAGGGGTGGTGTTATTATATATTTTCCAAACTTGAAAATATTACTGTTGAATATGAAGAAGATTGCTTTTTAACAGAGTTGCTTAATAAATGCGTTCAAGTTGAAATGGCTTATTCTGTCACGACAGATTCCATGACCTGCACTCCCTTAACGTGTCCGAGCCGAAAAGCGAAATGGGTTCAACCATGAACTATATTTTCATGCTCATTTTTGTTAGGGTAAACGTAGTTTTCTTTCGCATGAAATTACAGATTGAAAAAAAAAAAAATCATAAATATTAGATTTATTAAAAAAAAAAAACTTGTAAAGATAGTTACAAAAATCGATTCACTTAAGCTTTGATTTTAACCTTAGCTTTAATAATAGATTTGATTGCACGAGAATTCTGGCAATTGTGTCAATCTTTTTTATACAAGAAAGGTCAAAGATGTCAAAGTCTTATATGTCATATATTTCTAATATTTTTTTCACCGGACAAAGGAAGCAAGGGTCAGCTGAGCTCTAATTCTTTCATTGGTTTATCCGAACACTCATCCACAAAAGCATTGCACGGAAATACGATGCGAGGTTCTGACACACAGCCATTTACCATATCCTTATTCCAAAGTTTATAAAAACGGCTGATTCCTCTGACTTTGTTTGTTAAGTCCGACAGTAACCGCTGTTACAACTTATCTTCAACAGTCATGGCATTGTGCTCAACCTTCTGCCCTCGTGTTCCCAACAATTTTATAGCTATACCCACTTCTTCTTTCCTTCAAAACCCCTGCTTTCTCTTTCTTGCAAAGCTTTCTCTTCTCAGGCCCCTGATGCTTCATCCCAAGGTATTTCTTTTATGGGTACTTCTTCGGTTCTTCCTTTACTTTTTGTCATGTTTTGTTCTGTTTTCTATAATTTATTTCGGTTCTTCTTTGATCAGTGGTTCTTTTTCTGCCTTAAAAGATGAAAGGCTTCATCTTAGAGGCTTCTTTTAAGAGTAAGTTGAATTGGCCTTCTAAATTGGTTCAAAGGGTTATAGATTTATCATACAAATTGCATTAAAATCTGTTGGGTGACTTTGAAACCAGAGAAGGCGTGAGGAATTATTTGGAAATTGCAATTATGTATTTGGTAATAGCTTACTTCATGGTTTAAGGAATATCGTGCTTTCTTTTGTATGCACTTTTCTTGTATTGTAATTTTTTCGACTTACTTTAGGTTGGTCTATATGTTATGGTTATGGATATTCAGACTGCATGCTTTGTATTGTTCAGCTATGTTATTATTTTAATGGGGATCGGCAGGGAATTGGGGAGATAGAGATATATTGATTGATCACTGAACTGATGGGGATACCAAATGATAAAAGGTATATATTGTTAGCACAATCAGGGCTTGCACCGTAACGATTACGTTTTAGACTGCATTGCTTGAGCCTCTGAAGAGGACACCTGCAAAGGTTTGTGTTGTATTAAGGCGCTAAGGATTCTCACTCAATGTGTACTGCATGCTTTATTGAGTACTATCATGACAGGTTCTTCATTTTGTATTGATGGAAAAGCCTGAGGAGCAATCCTGGCTTAACTTGTAAACCATTTTCAATTCTGTATAAGGTACAATTGTCACTAAGTACTATATAACTCATGCAAGGATTATGCTGAATGCAACAGAAAAATTTTCAGGCCGAGTTGGGTTTTTGGGTCTTGGAATTATGGGTGCACCAATGGCACAGAATCTCATAAAAGCTGGGTATGGCTTGGTTTCTCTTCCTAATTAGTACAGTTAGAACAATCAAATTGAAATAAAATTGTGTACTAAAAGATGTTGCTTCCGTTCACAGAAGCTTACTATGGAACTACAAGATCGTATGTTTTATTTCCTTTCATCCTATTTTTTCTCTCTTTCCTTCACATAAAGCCTCTAAGATCAGTTTGAATGAAAAATTAATTTACCTTATAATTCACTTTCTTAAGCATCAGAGATGTTCAACTCTAAGAGTGATGTGTTTAGAGTTTAATCCTCTAGCATGTATGTTGCAGATGTGATGTGACAGTATGGAACAGGACAAAAAGCAAATGTGGTCCTCTCATCAGCCTCGGTGCAAAGTGAGATTCCAATATCCCTGCTGTGAAATTAGTTTTTGTGATATTACCACACAGTTTTGGAATTTCTTAAAGTTTGGATCCTTAGTGTTTTACCTTTTCTTCATGAGATATTGACATCCATTTCTATATGGTATGCGTTAATACTAGGCAGATCAGTTGTGCTATTGACTGTTGGTAAATGTGCTTACAGGGTCAGTCACTTCCCTTAGGAGACAACTGCCACATATTCATTAGTAGATAGGATCGTGGTCTATGTCCGTTCTCATATTGTCTTTTCCTGATCTGGTGGCTTTCTGTCTCATTCTCAATGCAATTACATGCTTAATGAAAAGAGGGTAAAGAGATACCTAACTTTGTATATCCTCTACAAAAGAAAAAATAGTAAACTTTATCTAGGGATATTTTGGTGTGCATTCTATAATTCTTGTCTGAATCTTGCAGCCTTTGAACTTCATCCACAAAGCTAGCTTTCTGTCGTTATTGGTGTTTTTGTCCAGAGGTCTTCAATATAACCAGATTTAAACTTATAATTATCTATTAAGAGTTTCTGTTGTTTATTTGTTTTATTTTTGCAGGTATAGATCCTCTCCTGAGGAAGTAGCTGCAAACTGTGATGTCACATTTGCCATGCTTGCTGATCCTGAAAGTGCAGTGCGTATGTTTCTGTTGTAATTTTCATTGTTATATTTGTTTTGCTTGAACTATTATTGAGATCTGGCAACTTATTGTTGCTTTGTACCAGATTGATGTTGCCTGTGGAAAGAATGGAGCTGTGAGTGGAATGGGTCCAGGAAAAGGGTAATATTTCTCCCATGTTCTGACTTGAAAGATTTTTGTGTTAAGAAACATGTAAGTCCTCAGGGCAGTGAGCATCATGCTAGAAGCTTTTTGTGTAACAATATTAAGTTTCTACTGATACAACAATTTCATCCAAGAATTTTAGCTGTTAATTGGTGATTCAGTAAATATAGTGTCACTGTCTGCTTTTGTTGAGTTACATCCTTGAATTGATGACATTGCATTGACATTGACAGCTATGTAGACATTTCAACAGTTGATGATGCCACTGCTAAATTAATCAATGGACATATCAAAGCAACTGGGGCATTATTTTTAGAGGTAAAGTTAAAATCAGGCTTTTCATTTTCTAAAATGCTTGCAACTCTTCCAAATATAAATACATTGAGTGTGCGTCAGCAATGTGATAACGTTAGAATTTCTGTTAACCAAGCTTCATCGCTTCCTTTACAGGCTCCAGTTTCAGGTTCCAAAAAGCCAGCAGAAGATGGACAACTGATATTTCTTACTGCAGGTAAAAATTTTTTGCATTATCTTGTGGAATGCTAAATATGTTGTATAATTCAATGTGAAGTAAATTCTAGTAAGGTAGCAAGAAATACTAAAATATTTGCAAAATTTGACGTTCAAGTGTTATCCTTGGATGGCTTCAAATGTTTTCCTCTTTGCTGGTTTATCCATTGTTCAGAATATAAGCATTTTAAGCCAATGATATCTGTGTCACATAACATGGTAATGTGGGGACTACTCATAAAAACTGAGGCAAAAGCTTAATCTTTCAGGTGACCGATCTTTATATGATTCAGTTGCTCCATTTTTGGACATAATGGGGAAGGTATTTTGTCTTCTGTTTGTTACATTAATACACAGTATCCTGTTGATCCATTTGGCTGTTGCAAGTAATTTTTTATATTTGTGTTTCTTCCCCAGTCAAGATTTTATCTTGGGGAGGTTGGAAATGGAGCTGCTATGAAACTTGTTGTTAACATGATCATGGGAAGGTTCTGTACAGTTATTTTACCTTTAAGTCTGTTCTTTTGGTGCTTGTGATAACGAGTATGATGATGATGTTTTGCTTTTGCAACTTGTAGTATGATGGCATCATTTTCTGAAGGATTACTGCTTAGCAAGAAAGTAGGACTTGACCCGAATGTTCTAGTTGAGGTACTTACTGAACCCCACATGCATGCACTGATTGGACGATTGAATGTTGTCTTTGATTCTTTTCCCTTCTTTACATTATTTTGTGGTATTGCAGGTGGTCTCACAGGGCGCTATTAGTGCACCAATGTACTCACTTAAAGGCCCATCAATGGTTAAATCCCACTATCCCACAGCCTTTCCCTTGAAGCATCAACAGAAGGTTTGTAACTTGCCGGAATAATTGACATTTTTCAAAGATATGTGCCATTATCTATATATATTATAACAGAAGTTAACGGTGACACAGGACCTCAGACTTGCTTTGGGATTAGCAGATTCTGTTTCCCAGTCCACACCAATTGCAGCTGCAGCAAATGAACTGTATAAGGTTGCAAAGTCATATGGCCTCAGTGATGACGATTTTTCAGCAGTTATTGAAGCATTGAAAGCTAAATCTCACGACACAGCCTAGCTATATATATATATATATTTCATTCATGGGATCCAGAGCTTATGTAAACTGCTCCTGCATATTTGATGATTTAGACATTGTTTTGATAAATGATATTTAGGTTGAGCTTTTCTTCTCCTCAATTCTGCCTCTGATTGGTGAACTCTTTCACATGATTATTTTCCTGTATAATTATTTTTTAAAATAAAACTTTACACTAGTTGGAATTCAACAATCTAATAAGGATCCATACGACCCATTTTCATTCCATGAAAATCTCTAGTATGGATAGTATTCCAAAGCAAATTAGAATATGGATCTTCAATCTCTGATGCGGAGTAGAATAAGCGGTCTCTGCTCCAGCCCGCTGGATATGAATTTTCAAAGCGATAAGGCAACATGTGGATTCAGTTATGATGCCAACTTAATTGTAAACCCATTTTCAAAGCTATTAATCGCTGGAGCAACTGTCAGAGCTCTTGTTCTCCTAGGTTTGCGATTTTCCCACCAACATGGAATACTGATCCGTCATATTCATGCCTGGCAAAATTCTTCCACTATAAAAATCGGTGTAATCGTGGTAGTTTTGGGATGCTAATGCTCGTAAAACAGATTATACCAGGAACACGATGGATTTTTAAGTTGAAATTCTTCATTTATTTTTGAACATTTGTTTTTATATTTATAAGATTGACGAGTATTATGTGTATAAATTTATTTGAATTCGCAATCTTTAAATGTTAATTTCATTGATATCTCAATTGATCCAAAAGTAAATTGGCTCAAAAAATCAATTTGTCAACTGATCAAAAAGTGAACTGGCTCCGTAACCAATGTTTAGCGTGCTCAAGATCACATTCCAAAAACCAACAGCACCCCGAATGTGCACACCATCACGAGACGATTCTAGGCATTCGGCCAAAATTTTGCACAAAAAACTGGTTGATAAATTAGTGTAGTTATCAATTGGAGAAAGGTGCCATAGGTTGTCTTTAACTTAACAGTAAAAAATGGAACAAAGGTCAGATTGAATTAATAATTCAGAAGGCACAAAGCCAATAAACATAGAGCAAAAACCACAGAGAGGTCTTGGCCTCAGCTCCTTGGCCTAGTGGCTAAGGAGCTCTTGGGACATAGAGGTCTATTAAGTTATCCCCATCCTGTGTACCAAAAAAAAAAAAAAAGCAGTATCTGCAGAGCATGATACAATATACAATGAAAAATAATCATTAAGGCCCTCAATTTCACATGATTGAGAAAAAGGGAATAAAGAGCTGAAATCGAGAATGATAACTGATCTCCAAAACCGAAGAGGCCCTGGTTATTCAGCGTGTAAAATCAAATAGAGTAACGGTTTTCAAGACCTAAAAATTTATAATCGATACATTTGTACACCATACCAGATTCTCTAATACAGTGTCATTGAGATGCAATGCTCCACTCAACCAAGAAACAATTGGAATATACTCAAGCCAATTAAGAAGCATCAACGAATTCACAAATTCCTCATTGTTTTGTTGAGAGTGGATGTCTAAGTATCAAAATGTAGACTAGATCACAAACTTTACCCATTGCAGAAATTACTTAAAGAGTACAGTAAATAACTTCTAACAGTGTAGACTGTAGACAAAGTAACAGGCCAAGCCTACCTACAATCGAGCAAAATATAAAGAGATTGTAGAGACTATAGGAAATGAAAATTTCATAGCATATATTCATTCCGAAATAGTCCATATCATGCTTTCCTGTCGTCCAGCCTATAATTCGCATAAGTCTGATCCTCTTTCTACATTCTCATCTCAGTCAATTTTCACAGAGGAGTAGATCTTCCTAACAAACCAGAAGCAAGCATAGAAGCCAATTGTCCCTGTCAGGACAAAGAAGGCATATGAAACAATTACCATGTACCCAAAGTAAAGGATGCCTGAAACCAGCTTTGTGATCTCCAACTTGGTAAAGAAGTAGAAAACGGAGTACAGGAAAAGGTAAAAAGCAGAGGAGCCAGCGGTTAAGTAAGATCTCCACCACCAATGGTAGTCTTCACTGCACAACTGGAAGTAGCATAACACAATTGTTATCTCGGCACAAGTGATTATTAGAATAATGAATACTATGAAAAGGAAACCGAAGATGTAATAGAACTGGTTCAGCCATATTGATGTCAAGATGAAGAAGAGCTCAATAAAAACAGCCCCAAATGGAAGAATGCCTCCAATGAGTATAGAGAAGACTGGCTTCATATACCATGCCTGCTCTGGTATTTGCCTAGGAATTTTGTTGGTCTTCACGGGGTCTTCAATGGCTGGCTTTTTGAAACCCAAGTAACTGCCAACAAAGACTAAGGGAACTGATATACCAAACCATAAGCAAACAAGAATGAACATTGTCCCAAACGGCACAGCACCAGAAGATTGCTCTCCCCAAATTAGTGCATTCAGCACAAAGAAGACAGCAAATAGGATACCTGGAAACATAAATGCAGTTTTCAAAGTATTTCTCTTCCACTCTGTGCCCTTGAACATTTTGTACAGATGTGCTGAGGAGTAACCGGCAAATATTCCCATGAAAACCCACAAGAGAACCATAGCAGTCATAAGCCCTCCACGATTGGAAGGAGATAAGAAGCCCAACAATGCAAATAACATTGTCACAAGTGTCATTGCAAAGATCTGGACACCAGTACCAACATAAACACAGAGTAAACCGTAATTGATTGGAGCCCTAAAGACATCCCCATGAACAAGTTTCCATCCTGTTTCTTCCTGAGCCTCATCTTGGGTTTCCAACTGATTATAGTTTGCAATATCTTTATACAATGTTCTCATCATGATCATGGCTACCATGCCAGAGAGAAAGAGAACAATCATCAATGAATTTATGATGGAGAACCAGTGGATCTGATCATCATTCATCAGAAGGTATGTGTCCCACCGAGAAGCCCATTTGATATCACTCTCCTGAAGAAAACCATAAGTTAAACTATGCATTAGGATATACAGTGGACAAAACAATGACAAGAAAGAGAAAGGGAAGGCAGAGTACCTTGAAAGTTACATCATATGTGAACACAACCTCCTTGCCTACATCAACTTCTTGTGGAACAGTACTACCTTGAATTAGATTTTTGGTGTCCTTATTGCATGTTGTTATCTGGGGATTCTTCTCATCCCATTCCTTATATTCATGATTAATGCTGGTTACAGAAGCCACACAATGAACAATAATGACACAAGTAAGCCAGTCATTTGATAACCAACAGAAAATGACCTGGTCCTAAAAATGTTAGTTTCATATTGCATAATGAACGCAAATTTCATCACAATTTCAGTACCCCTTTTGAGTAGCATATTTCAAAAGGGCAATACAAATTGTTACTTTAATTATATTTTGAAGAAATTGAAGAATAATAAATCTTTAAGCACATAAAGTTTTCAAGTAGCTGAGAACTTTCAGTGGCTACACGTATTCAGCATGCTATTATAATGAGTTTTCAGTAGGATATTTCAAAAGAACAATATAAATTGCTACTTTAACTATATTTTGAAGAAATTGAAGAATAATAAATCTTTAAGCACATAAAAAACTCTCAAGTACTTGAGAACTTTCAGCAGCTGCATTAATACAGCATAATACTATAATGAGTCTTCAAAATTATGAAACAAAAAGAAACACTAGAGGTACACAAAGTTGCAAGGTTTGGCACAAGTCTTCCATTTTTATTGAACTCTGAGATATGATTCACTGTGATCTTAATCTAGAATATCCAAGTCTAACATATATCTATTAGATACTACAACCAAAATATCTGGAAAGAACGTTATGCTTCCAGCATTATTAAGCACAAAACCTACTTTTGAAGGGAGCCCATTCCCCATCACCCCCCCGCTGTAAACATGCACATAAGGAAATTGAAGAGGATTACATTGAAACAACTCTTAATGGCTAAGTCATAATCCAAATCCACAAAAGCTACTAATGAACACGGTTCAACTAAATGTCAAAACAAATGCAAAATGAACAAAAAGAAAGTCAAGAAATTGATAGAAAACCTGTTTCGAGTAACCTCAAATCCAACAATTCTAGCAGCATCAGTCTCAGTATCCCTGTGAAACATGACCCTGAAGCTCAAGTGGTTGTTGATAAAATACTTCTCCTTCTTGCTCTGCAATGGCATATAAATGGTTAAGAATAGATAAGAAATACATAACACTCTGAAAGTAATACTAGCTTCCTACGGCATACCCCAGCATAATTTCCTTTGAACCCAACTCGGAAACCGTGTTCATATGTTGTTGGCTGACTTCCATCTCTCCTTTGTCTAAGAACAGCAACTGGAAGGTTGTCAAGAATCCTGTGCATCAACTCCAGATAATTTAGTACAAACATGCACCGCAAATATATGAGCAATGAGAGAAGAGAGAGAGGAGAGCGGAGGAGAAACAAACATTAAAAGCAAGAGGTAAAAATCACATAAAACATCTCCATAAAGAGAAAAGAACAAGGAAACATGAATCTTAGGCATCACATTTATTACTTACATATTTACTCGATATTCATCATCAATTTTTTCCTTGAAATTCTTCGCAGATTCAGCATCAAGTTTTTTTCGACAGACTAATTTGCAAGGATGATCCTCCATCATTTCAAACTAAAGCAAAACACATGATAAACAACAAAATAACAATTGCAGACATAATCTATAAAGGTTTTCATAGAGAAACACTTGTCAGCAACTGCAAGCAAACAACACCACAAAAGGTACAGATGCTCACAGTGTACACAGAATTCTCTATGCGGTCACCACGTAGCACCTCCCCCAAATTTTCAGCATTGTTCACAATCTTGGATGGCTTACAGTAGTTTAAGTAGTAATAGTCATATGGAAGTTGTGTCTTTGTAGATGACAATTTGTTCACTTTTACATAAAGGGGATCACCCTGTTCAGAATCAGAAAAAGACAATTTAAGATATAATATATTTAATAACAATAATGGATACAAAAACCCTAAAAAAATGGTCTTGAACAAAATTCAGAATTGGACAAATATAATCTGAATATTCCCTCCACAGATCCCCTGCCCCCAAAATTAGAAAACGAAAATATAGTTTCAAGCAAAATAATATGTAACCTGTAACCTTGAGGATAATGCAACCCCATTATTGAAATGCAAAACGTCATCAACAGATTTACCAATTTTAAATTGTACAAACAAATAGCCTAAGCACCACATGAATTTAACACCAAATATGCCTTTATGTTTTTAACTCTATAGTCAGTGATCTCTTAGAACTTGAAAATTTATTATGATCTCTTCAGAGTTTTGGATGTTCATTCGCAAAAGAGGAAATAAATTGCAAGGATCACATCCTTAATTTCAGAAGATATTAAGAAACACAAAAAGTAAGATCCTGAGAAAGAATGAATTAGCCTTTATTTCTTCATATCAGTGATCATTACCACTGTAAGTGATAACTCTATCAGCCCTCACCGCACGCTAAAAGCCCTCCTAGTGTTTAGGGTTTAGGGATCATAGTTCTATGCTACAGTAATTACATAATGAATCTAAAACTAGATTGCTTCAAGTATTTGCACATAGGTGTTGCTACTCGTATTACATGATAAGGAGACATGTGCATATTTGGGCATCATACATCTATGCAAGTCAAATATGAAGATTG